TCACATTGGACCCCACTGAACATTGGTATTATTTATCGTAAATATTTCAGATACAAAACAATTAAACGTCTTTGTGCGCACTTTGGTATTGAACCTAGATCCCGACGAACGTCTTATGAATTTTTTTTTAACTGTAGAATCCTTAGAAATCCATACATATCAAAAAGTTATGACAAGTAAAAATTTACTTTGCAAGGCTCCAATTACAGATCTGCCTTTAACTAAGGTATATATGCTTATTTCGGCATAATTTTTTTATGGAAGTTATATGTTTTGAAAACGAAAGTATAAAAAATTTAACGATATAATATACTTCAATGCGTTTCGCAATACGTTACATTAAACAATTGTAATCTTAGTGACATTAATATTAATTATATTGACAAAATGCTAATTTTATAAATTAACAGAGAATATTGCTCTCTCAATTTTTTATTACAAACTAAGTTTATGAATATTTTTGTCTTAAGCTTAAATCTGTACTCTCAAATGGCTCTTAAAATAAATATAATCTACCTAAAAATTAATTAAAAATTTATTAATTGTATTATTGATAAAGATAACAATTACCTGGTGTCCCAGATAATAAGTTTTTGATCGTCAGCAACCGAACCAAATAATAATTCATGTAGCAGATGCCAAGCGACGTTTTCGACCACGGCTGTGTGCCCTGTAAATATAGTTTTCGCATCGATAACACGATTTTCCTTCGGTGTGGCATTAATATCCCACGAACAAATTGTGTGATCATCAGATGCGCTAAGTAAATATCCATTGAGATTCGGATTCCATGAAAGTCCGTAGCCTTCCTTTTAATTTTGGTACTTATTATTTCACTCAGAAATAATTGCGTGCTGCATTAATGCATTTAAAAAAACATTACAACAAATTAAAACAATGGGAAAATTAGAAAATAATGATTAATATTCATAGTTGTAAGAGTAGCTCGGAAATCGAGCAGAAAAAGTATAAACACGAGTATGAATAACGAGATATCGGGATGAGAATATGTACTTGTTATATCGCGCAATTACTTACGTTAATCTGAATTCATTGAGAACGGGACTGTGAATTAAAATCGCCAGCAAGAATCCACCATGAATCCACTGTAGGTTTATGAGCTAACTGTAGGTTAGGTTGCTGATTTCTTGCCAGTCTTGCCACTCGTCGTCAACTGAGAAGTATGTGCACTTTATTGCACTATAGTGCAGACATTACAACGAAATATTGACTTTTAATTAATTTTTATTAGAATACAGTTGTTTTCCAAATAATAAAAATTATATGGACACATTATCCAAATGATTCTGGAGCGATTGGATTAAAAAAAATATGTTTTAAATGCTTTCTGCTAATTATACGCTTAATTGATTTTAATTAATTGTGATTAATGTATGGTTTTCCAAACTCTGAAAAGTTTTTTCCAAATATCTCCAAATGATTTCCAAACGATTGGGTTAGTTAATTTTCAATAATTTTTAATTTATTTGCTAAATATACGTCGGTGATTTTCACTACCCTCTCGCATGTCCTTTTGCGCATCTCTCACTTATGCCCGTTCTAGAAGGTTCCCGTGGAAATTTCCACGCGCAACGCAGTGCGAGAACCTTCCTTCCTTGGCACCGCTGCACCAGGTCTCCACTTGCGGAAATTTCTCGACGCGGACGACGTCCACCCTTGCGCACCTTCTCGGAGCTGCCCCTGATGGTGAATTTGGGTGTTTTTCCTGTAGACGACGTCCGGGTGACGTCGGTGTCGTCGGCCGTTGACGCCGACCCTCTGGCTGGGTTTCTCGGGAGCTGGTATTACCCATCCGGGCCACTGTTCCTGGAGATGATGCGTTTCCCGGGGATCTCGTCGGAGCACGACGTCGACCCCCTAGGCGGGTGTCCCAGGACCTCTCGTGACGGATTCCGTTGTTTGTTCCCGGGGAAGATGCGTTTCCCGGGGAACTTGTCTGACCTAGACGCCGACCCCCTGGGAGGGTGTCCCAGGTCCTGGTGAGACGATCGCATGGCTGAGTTCCTGGCGAAAATGCGTTTCGCCGGGATTTCGCCGGACATTGGCGCCGACCCCCTGGAGAGGTTCCTCCGGTCCTGGCGAGTCCGTCGGATTTCTCTCTCCCTGGAGAAGATGCGTTTTCCGGGGACTTCACCGGGTCATGATGCGAACCCCCTGGGGCTGTGTCCCAGGTCCTCGGAAGACGTCTCGACCTCTTTGTTCCTGGAGAAGATGGTTTTTCTGGGAACTTAGTATTTTCTCGGCGCCCATCTCATGGACGCGCGTACCGGGTCCGGGGAATTGTAGGGAGCAGCATATCTGTCTCCCTCCCGATTGGTCAGCCCCCTCTCCTGGCTAGCAAGAGGGTTGAGAGTTACGAGGTTGGCAGAACTGAGTTACGACGACCGTTAGAATTGTACTGACTCTCGTGGCTGTTGCGTGGTCTGCAATTAAGTATTATTTTATCAGCAGTAATCGAGTGTGCAATTATTCCTCGATACCTCTCGTCAAGACGTCGGTAGTAGGCCGACACCCGGAGGCATATCGACCTCCTGTGGTACTGAATTCCTACATTGGTGACCCTGACTGAAAAACATGCAACGGTTCTTGCACAAATCGCTACCGGAAGCCCGAGTCAGAGATAAATCCTCGTGTGGACCAATCTTCCCCGAGGAACGGACGCAGAAGTAGCGGATCGAATTACCCGCAAACGCAAGGTACATTCCTATGCCCGCGTCCCTGGCTGTTAGTTGCCCACGCTGCGGCCAGCCAGCCTTGCCGCGCCGAAACATTTTTCGGGCGTCCATTTTTCTTGCCGCGCTTTTTGCACGAGGCACGAGGCGTGCACGTGAGACCCCACCGGCGCCTGGGTGGCCTCAGCGGTTCTGCCGTCTTGTTACCACGACCATCCCCTGGTGTGCGTCTGGCCCTTCTCCGCCGCCGCCGTTACCGTTTTCTCCTGATGGTGTGCGACCGGCTTTTCTTCGCCGATGCCACGGATTGACATTGTCGCTGTCGCCTCATCGATTTGATTGCGTGAAGCCAACGACACTGGCGCCTTGGATTCCGTCGTCGTTGAGACATGTAATGCGTGAAGCCAACATCTCCGGCGCCTTGGGTCCCATCGTCACCGGGGTTTTGGATTCTACCCAGACTACAGTAATTAAACGAAAGATAGTAATCCGCCTCGCGCCGTCATTTCTTAACACTTATGTCGTTTATATCGTTTAACGCCTATGTCGCTTATATTATTTAACGCTCATGTTGTTTATGCTGTTTATTGCTCTCATTTTGCTAGTAGCTTACTATAAATTTAAAACAATGTCGGACGCGGCTCTTCAAACCCGCGCAGAGGCAGCGGAAGCCCAGCTAAACGCTCAGGGCCCCGATACAGTCACCTCGAACGCGATTGATAATAATATTTTAATTCCGTGTATAGATAACCTATGGGTTCCCAAGCTCCCCCCGTTTTCACAAGTTGACCCAGAATTGTGGTTCATCCAGGCTGAGATTCTCATGAGAAATTCTAGGATCACTACAGAGTCCACTAAAGCCGATACCGTACTCGCTGCACTCGATGTCGAAGTATTGGGATACGTAAAGGACATAATTACTTTAAACCCTTCCCCAACGGATATTTATGAGCAGATTAAAGCTCGAATTATTGCGGCATACGCACCTTCGGTCGAAACAAAATTGCGAAAACTTTTAACGGGACAAGTCGGGACCGACGGAAAACCTTCGTTAATCCTTAGTCGACTGCGCAGTCTTAATGACGGGAACATAGATGATAGTGTAATAAAATCAATTTTTTTGGATCATCTACCACCCAAACACCGCGCGATCCTTGTAGCTTTAGTCGACGTTACCGACCTCAACCGTCTAGCCGAGGCCGCCGACCGAATGGCTGAGAGCAATATCGGAGGCGAGTCTTACGCGTCCGCCGTAAACAAGGGGAATACACCCCCTCCCGCAAAAACCGAGATTCAACAATTCATCGAAAGAATGGAGAAGCTGGAAAAGCTGGGAAAAACACTTAATTCGCATTCGCGATCCAACTCCCGCTCCGTGAAAAATCCAAAAAACTAAAACAGCCTTTCCGTTCGGAGACGGTCGGCAAGGGCCTTCAAATTTCTAACCGCCTCCACGTCCGTGATCGTACCAGTGGCCAAATGTTCCTTGTCGATACAGGCGCGGATATCTCTCTTGTACCCGCTATCGATAAGATCAAGGGAAAGCCTTCCGAATTAAAGTTCTTCGCAGCAAATGATACGCGTATCGACACGTTCGGGGAATCTCTTCGTGAGCTTGACCTCGGTTTAAGACGACCAATTCGATGGAATTTTTGCATTGCCGCGGTTCCGTACCCCATCATTGGCGCCGACTTATTATCGCATTACGGGTTAATAGTAGATTTAAAACGACGACGTCTTATAGATTCCACTACTAAATTATATACCCTCGCGATTAAAAAACCAGCCCCGATACATTCGATTAATACGATTAAATCTTCCTCTGAGTTTTCTAAAATACTCAAGGAATTTCCGCAAATAATAGGAACACTTCCCCTCGCCCCGCCGTCCAATTGTGACGTGTTTCATCATATTATCACCACCGGCCCTCCAGTCGCT